TCATTTAATATCAACTATACAGATAAATGATTATTCATCTTATCAATAAAAATATTCCAACTGAACCAACTGAAGAGTCGGTTGTGCAAAAATGTTAACTGATGTTTGGTAATTAGTACTTAGTATTGTGTTTGAACTTTGGATTGCTATTTTGTTATATAATGTTTAGAGTTTGAATTTGGATTATGTGAATATGTATTGTTTGGTAGTATGTTCGAAAAATTAGGAAATGTTGAAATTTGGGGAGCTTAAACCGAACCAAACACCGAACCGAATTAAATCCGAACCGAAACCGAACCGTTTCAAACCGAACCGAAATCGAACCGAACCTTAATGTTAAACCGAATGGTTTAACTTTTTTAAAATCAAAAAATCGAAACCGAAAAAAACCTAACCGAAACCCGAAACGCCCACCCCTAGGTACAAGTGTGCAAGGTAGGTGAGCATGCCTATGCTCATTGCGGATCCTCTTGAATTATTAACTTTTGCTCAAATATAAATTGAGTTGCTTGAGTAATCTCTCTTTTGTCTTTAAACAATGTGTTATATACTTATATCTTAGTAAGTTTTTTTTTTTGAAAACATATCTTAGTAAGTTAGTCCAATATCATATTAACATATATTCTATCAATAATATTACATAAAAAATAGTAATATTGATAAGAATAATATATTACAATGACTTTCCCTTTTTTACTTTAGATTTCATTAATTGCTAACATATACGAGAGTAATATATCACCCTAATTTATTTTTAAAATTCTGTCAGTGTGTGAGACTTATGGGGGTGAAGAATTTTTTTTTTTTTTTTTTTTTTTTTTACGTGCTTAACTTAATGGTTCAGTATGCAGTATTTAAGAAGAATGAAGATTTTGTGTTTTTGTAGGCAAATATTAATGCAAAATTTGATTGATAGCACCTGGATTACATGCGCAGATAATTTTACATAATTAGTCCGTATTTTGGGAAGTAATAAAGTATTTGGCAATAATGTTATGACTTTGCAAATGGGTGAAATGTGCAGATTAGGATGATGAGACAGCGCAGATTTGAGCTGGTTCAAAGCTTTTGGCTTTCATGTCGGATGACCCATTGAATCCGGGTCATCGTGGAATCGAGTTGAATTTGGGTGTGGGAGAATGGTGAGAGAGAGAGAGAGAGAGAGAGCAAAAGTAAGCGATTGTTTGATTCGTAAGCTTAAAGAAATGTTGTTTGATTATACAGCTTAACATCCCTACCAAACATTCTCTCTCTCACTTCAACAACCCCGTTTTCCCAATCTTCAAAGCCACTCTCCGATTAGCTCTCCTTTCTCCTTCAAACTCACCAGATTCCGGTTGTTGAATTGGTTGCTCGTCTTTCTGGTTGCGAAGTTGGGAGTGGAAAGATGATGAAGCTGACGGCGTTGCAGCAGCAGGCCCGCCGGAGCAACAGCTTCAGGGGATCGTCGCCTCTGGATTTGTCGTCCGACGGCGCCGTCAAGTCCCCGGCTGCTATTTTCTGGCTTCTCCTCCACGGCCTCTGCTGTCTCATTAGCCTAGTGCTCGGATTCAGGTTCTCCCGCCTCGTGCTCTTCCTTATCTTCTCCAACTCCGCCACCCCGAGCAATAACCTCTACTCCGCCCGGTTTACTGATCCCGGCGCCGCCACCGTGGCTGTTCAGCAGGCTGTGGACCACGGATCTCCGACGTTGACGAATAGCAGAGTGGTTGTGGGGCGGCACGGGATCTTAATACGGCCGTGGCCGCATCCAAACGCGACGGAGGTGATGCAGGCTCATAAGATAATTGAGATTGTTCAGAGGGAGCAGAGGTTTCAATATGGAGTCAAAACTCCTCGGACCGTGATTGCAATCACTCCCACCTATGTCCGAACCTTCCAGACCCTGCATCTCACCGGAGTTATACATTCCCTCATGAACGTGCCGTACAATGTCATCTGGATTGTCGTCGAAGCCGGCGGCGCCACCAATGAGACCGCCTCATTGCTCGCCAACTCAGGACTCAGGACTATCCACTTAGGACTTGGCGACAAAATGCCTATTATGTGGGAAGATCGCCACAAATTGGAGTCAAAAATGCGAGTTAGGGCTTTGAGGTATGCCAATTAATGAACCTATACTTATCCTTTCAGCCTTGTATTTAAGTTAAAGTTTGCAGTTTCTGGACTTTGGATTTGATTTGGTAGTCTTGTGATTGGCCAGATACATTAGAGATGAGAAACTGGATGGATTGTTGATGTTTATGGATGATAGTAATATGCATAGTTTGGAGGTTTTTGATGAGATCCAAAAGGTTAAATGGTTTGGTGCCCTTCCTGTTGGCATTATAGCTCATTCAGCTGGCGCTGATGAGGAGCTCTCAGTGATCAAGAAAAACGGTGAAAAGAATTCGCAGCTGCCAGTTCAAGGTCCAGTTTGCAATTCTTCGAAGCATCTGATAGGTTGGCATACCTTCGATTCATCCCCCTTTGCGGAAAGGAGTGCAAGATACATTGGTGACAAGGCGGTTGTGCTGCCAAGAAAGCTTGAATGGGCTGTCTTTGTGTTGAATTCTAGACTGCTGTGGAGAGATGCTGATGACAAGCCGGAATGGGTTAAGGATTTGGACATTGCAACTGAAGCCGGGGAAGATATTGAGAGCCCGTTGTCTTTGTTGAAGGATTCTTCCATGGTGGAGCCTCTTGGGAGTTGTGGACACAAAGTTATGGTGTGGTGGCTTCGCGTTGAGGGAAGGGCCGACAGCAAATTCCCTGCCAGGTCCGTCTTTTGCTACTCTTACTATTCAGAATATTGTGCGCTTTTAGTCTTCATACTGTAATACGTTATCTTTGACTGATGATTGCTTGCAGCTTGCTTTTACTTGCAAATTTGTTCTATAGATCACTATCTCATCTTAGAGGAATAACATAACATAACAGAATTTCCCATTTACTTGTTCTTATGCTACAAAATCAACTAAATTTGAGCGGTTATGGTGAATGGAAGAATGACACAGAAGGAGTGAAGGACTAAATGAAGGTTGAAAGTAAGAAGAATAAAAAGTGATTTTGCTAAGAAACAGTTTTAGAGGTGGCAGTTATCCATACAAAGAAAAGCAAACATGCTTAATCCTTAGTGTAGTCCTCTACTAATTTGGTCATTAGGTATCTTGTAATCAAAGTAGCTAAACTCTTAGGCCCTAATGTAAGCTCATTCATGGATGCATCCTTAATGATTATCAACTATTGACATAGTAATAAGTAATAACTAATATGTACCAATCATTATACAATGGACCATGTTTCACCTTGTAAAGTAAGGTGAACCACTGATATAAGATTCATTTTTAATATACTAAAGGTTCATTTTTAATATATTGAATATTCATTTTTTGTATAAAAGTTCATTATTTGGTATACTATCTAAAAATGAACTTTTCAGTACATTAAAAATCAATCTTCAGCATACTTGCCAAGCACCTTGTGCTCAGATGGCATGTAATGACCTCTCCCCCATGTGAGAGGTCATGAGATCGAGCCTCAATGTTTGAATATATACTACAATGTAATAGAGTTAGTAGCATGCACAGGCGCATGTAAGCTATGATTTGGCATATTCTTGGGTGGGTAGCATGGAATTCCAAATTCTACCAGTCAGTCAAAAATCTTGTAACATTGTATATCTGTGTCTATCAAGATTTGTGATTGGCTTAGACGAGTCTTTAAGCTTATGGTGGATTTGTTCTACACTCGGATCTTATGATTTAATGTGTTGTATGTCTGAATACATAGCGTCCATCCTGTTACTAGCACAGTGAAACAGCAAAATCGCACCTTGTGCAAGGAAGTCGTTTGCTATCATATTTTTGACAGCCACTAAAATTCACACTTCTCTGTACCTATGCAGATGGATAATTGACCCTCCGCTGGATGTTACTGTCCCAGCAAAGCGCACGCCATGGCCGGATGCTCCTCCAGAGCTGCCCACTGTTGAAAAGCTAGTCATCAACCAAGAGAACAACATCGAGAAGCGCACTGCAAAACCACGAACCAAAAGGCGCACTTCTAGGAAGAGGAAGCATGTAGCAAAGAATGCAGATGAAAACGTCTCCACCAAGAATTCCATCAAGAAATAGAATGCAGATGAAAACATCTCCACCAAGAATTCCATCAAGAAATAGTAAAGATCCTGAATTGGATGGCTATCACCATTGTTTATACTCACTCATCTACAGACAACTAGTCATGCCTTCAACATCATCAAGTTTGAGAACTACACGACCATCCTTGTTTCGTAAATATGAGATGGCATCCCTTACCATAGCAGTTGATACATACATACTTGTTCAGCCCATCTAGTTTTCATATATTCTTTTTGTTTTTTTTTTTCCCTCAGTTTTTGCCCCATTTTGTTTATTGTCATTGAATTGTGAACTGTTTCAAAAAGAAATTTAGTCTTGCAACATTTCTGCTTGGCTGAAAGCCTAAAAATTGTATTCCTACTTTGTGCATGATGATCATTCTTGTTCAATTTTTGGATATTATTATTGGGATTTAATCTTTGTTATAAAATATCATTTTTCTTTATCCAAATAAGGTTGAGAGTTTATAATTTGTGTAACACATTACAAATGAAATCATAAATATTTTTTTTATTCAATTTAGAATCAAAAGGGAGAATCTTAACTTGTATCATTAGAGTAAAATATATTTACTAATATTTTCTTTAATATTAACCGTATGAAAATTATCTAGCCTTCTTGGTAGAATTGATTGTGCAATTTATACTAATTTATTTTTTTTATGGTCCTTTAGCTGCTAGATTCATAAGGTGAGTTTCAGTTTGAACATATTATTAATTTATTTTTTTGTAGTCTTTTACCAGTTAGATTCATAAAGCGAGTTTCAGTCTGAGCATATTAATAACTTGAGCGTATTTTCACGTAGCAGGTTGTAAATTTTTTCGTAAATTAAAGTTTAAAATAAAAAGAAAAAGTTCCATTGGTTGAAAGAACGGGCAGCATATACCAAAAGATTGGGCGGCCACTGCAAACACTATCAAGTGGCCTTTTAGTGATATGATTCATAAACATTTACGAGTCTGACGGCGCTAAAAACTACAGATCAAGCTATTTCCCAAGAACTAAAGATATACCTTTTATAATCTTGGCGGTAATTATCATCATTATTAAAGTCACGAGTCCCAATAACGACATTAACTAACAATAATACACGAATTTATTATCCATTTCATGCAACTATATAAATCCCAACTTCAAGCTTCTTACACTCAATCCATCCATCCACACTTGAGCTGATCGAGCTAGCTTCCTCTGCTCTGCTCTGTGTCAGCCATGGCGTTTGTAGTGACCCCACTATTCTTCATCTTCTTCGCATCATTTTGTTATGCACTTGACATGTCCATCCTCGACTATAACAAACCACCGACATGGCGAAGTGATGAAGAGGTGAAGGGTGTACACCAACAGTGGCTGGCGGAGCATGGGAAAGCGTATAATGGGGTGGGAGAGATGGATAAAAGATTCGAAATTTTTAAGGATAATTTGAAGTTCATCGACGAACATAACAGCATGGAGAATCAAACGTACAAGGTGGGGTTGAACAACTTCGCTGACCTCACAAACGACGAGTACCGGTCCAGGTTTTTGGGCACGAGGAATGATGCTAAGCGCCGCTACGTCAAGTCCAGAAACACCAGCCAACGTTACGGTTTCCGGCCTAGCAAGACGCTGCCGGAATCCGTTGATTGGAGGAACAACGGCGCCGTTGCTCCCGTCAAGGATCAAGGAAGTTGCGGTAATATGTGTGTGTGTGTGTTTTTTTCGTTGTTGTTAAAAGCGTAATCAACCATCACTACGTCGAGAGTTTACATTGGATAAATTTCGTGACCATCGACAAAGGACATAATTGACTAGCTTAAACCAAGAAGCTAATAATCTGTAATTAATACCTGAGGGTGTAGATTTTTCGTTCCAACTAAAAGTGTCATGGCAACAAATCTGTATCTTTAATTTCAGGGAGTTGTTGGGCATTTTCAACTGTCGCGGCAGTTGAAAGCATAAACCAAATAGTTACAGGGGAGCTGGTAACACTTTCGGAGCAAGAACTGGTAGACTGTGACAGGTCCTATAACGAAGGCTGCAATGGCGGCCTTATGGACTATGCATTTCAGTTCATCGTTTCCAATGGCGGCATTGACACAGAAGCTCACTACCCATACAGAGGCAGCGATGGAGTTTGTGATTCCGTAAGGAGCCACACAATCACAATATAATCACACTTTTCTTCATCAAAGGGACTAAAAATTTCTAACCTTTCTTGCATGAATTATTACAGAAGAATGCCAAGACTGTTACCATAGATGGCTATGAAGATGTTCCACAAAACGAGAATGCGCTAAAGAAGGCTGTGGCACATCAACCCGTGAGTGTTGCCATTGAAGCCTCTGGCAGGGCATTCCAGTTTTACTCATCGGTAATTCAAAGTTCTCTACTTTGTTGGACTGCTAGCAGACATTAAGGTTAGGTTTTTCAGTGAGTTACTACAAGGTTCAAGCTTAGCTTACTCTTGGCATGAACATCCACAGGGAATATTTACTGGGAAATGCGGAACAGAGTTGGACCATGCAGTGGTGGTGGTAGGCTACGGCTCAGAAAATGGTTCAGACTATTGGATAGTGAAGAACTCTTGGGGTAGCAGCTGGGGCGAGGGCGGCTATGTTAGAATGGAGCGCAATGTGGGTGGCACTCATTCTGGAAAGTGCGGGATTACAATGGAGGCTTCTTATCCCATCAAGAATGGTGGATCTAATAAGGATTATAGCAGTGCTTGATATGAAGAAGAACATCTAATACCAAGATTGTAGTACAATCCATTGATAGTTTTCATTCAGTTGTTATTGCTTTGTTTTCTTTTAGGTCTATGTTCATCAAAGAGCAATGGACTAAACATTTCATTGTCATGATTCTTTGAGCACTGATTGAAAAACATAATGAGGAAAGGCTAACCTTTGCTTCAATTGCTGTTAATTCACGGTCTGCATCACAATAGGTAGGATACAAGTATAGTCCATACAGCTATGCTTTACATTCAAGTTAAAATCAAGGCTTCCTTCAAGCTAGATATCATCGGCTCCTCATTTTTGTCAGTAGATGGAAGATCCTGCTAGCCAAAGAAAAAACTGCCATAAAAATGCGGAAGCTCATATAAAGCATTGGCTGTCGAGCAAAAATGCATCACAATAAAACAGATCTAAATTTTTAGAGAATGACATACAACAAGTACCTGAATCTAGACGTTCTCACTTTCACTTGAAGGAGTTGAAGGTGCTTTCTTCCCATCATAACGCTGAAATGGATAGATGAATCTTAAATGAAAGAAGCTAATGCTGGGGATTAAAGTTGAAATGCAAATGACTATAAGTACCTGTTTCCCAAAAGAAAACGGCAAATATTTGTATTTCATCATGTGCAATATCTGCCTCCTCATAGTAAGCGTGAACAATACCATCCAATAGAAAAGGAGGATTGGCCAAAACACAGGCACATCAAACAGACTGAAGAATGTCATCACCATAGCAATGCAGAATGCCTTTGTAATCGAATACCTTCAAACAAAAATCAGTCAGCATCTGAGAAATTCTTGGTTGTATAATTTCGCTAATAACAAGTACATATAGTGGAAGTGCACATCAGTCATCACATAGCCGTATTTGGGACAGGACCATGAACCACTTGCAGACACTCCAGAAATTTTGCTCATCGCAATTTGGATAAAATACATTAACACTAAAAGAGATACCTGAACTTTCGCAATTTGGATAAAATACATTAACACTAAAAGAGATACCTGAACTTTGACAATATACGTGAATATCATAACATGCCTATCTATACATTCTGCACCAAAACAAATCACTTGCAAGACTATGCCGTGGTAGTATAATACTCCCCTACCTCGAAGCATCATAAGGAAATCATTCTGGGCATGGTGTTATACTAGAGTGTAATAACATTCACACTCTGTTTAAAACCTGGAACTAATCAGTGAGGAAAGGAAAAGCCATGGAAAAAGAACATTACACCGAAGAAACAAAAAACACTCATTTTTATATTCTTATAAGAGGAAACGAAAAATATTATTTTTTGGGGAAAGGGAAAAGAAAATGCTCTTATCTTTTTTTTTTTTTTTTTTATATTTTTATTGGTTATACCAACACATGGAGCATTTCGTTTATATGTTTGGAAGGATTTTTCAACTCCAAACATTCCCATCTTTACAAATTTAGACCTTCCCATCTTTACAAATTTAAACCTTCCCCCACTCTATTGTGAGGAATCTGAGAACATCAGTGATTGATTCAAACTACTCGGGGAGGGATGCTAATCCTAAATATGCCGACCAGTATGCAAACATAATGAAACTTGCTGGACATGCATGAACTTCACATTTTCATTATCAATTTATTTCAAAATACTTTTTGATAACGGGAAACATTCATAGTTCGGAAAAGGGTATCAACCTTATTCACATTACAGTCACAGATTAAGAATACAAAATCAAGGGACGTTTCTAAGGGGAAAAGTACCGAAATTGGCGAAGTAAAATTCAGAAGATTACCAGAATTTGAATTCAGGAAGGCGACGAACGAAGGGACGGAACTCGTCCGATTCCTGGGTGGGCAGGGTGGGTCCAGAATCAAGTTCTGGGTCAACCTGAGGGGAGAGAAATCCAATGAGGAGGTTAAGGATATAGATGCCGAGGGCGTATGAGACGACGTAGAACCCTTGAAGCAGGAATACTCGCACCACATAGACCAAAGCTAGGGCAAGGAATGCGATCCAGCGGTAGAGAAAGTGCGGCAAAGTTTTATCGAGCAAGTGCTGGTATCGCCGGGATAACACAACGGTAAACCGGGTCACTTCTTCAGACGACGGAGTTAATGACCTTCCGCCGCCATCGACGGCGGCTGCAGCGTCGCTGCTGCTTTCCATCCGGTGCAGGTGTTCTTAACGCTTACTTGACGTCTATAAACGATTGTGTTCAACTGCGAAACGCTTTGGGATGATATCATATATGTCCAACGAAACGGACGGGTTAGGAGAGTTTTGCGGGTCGGTAATTGTTATATTTTCGTTGATCAACTCTATTTTTTTTAAAAAAAAAAAACAAACTGACATTTTCATTAGTTTGTATTTTATAAAATAGGGATAAAGGTAAAAATGTCAACTAGACTTCTTCAACTATAGACTAAAATGTAATTAACCCCTTAAACTATCAAAAGCTTCAATTAGATCCTTCATTTTTTTATTTTTATGCAATTAAGTTAATTAATAGGTTACATCTAAGTTACAGCCTCACACGTAAAATTCTTTTAAATAAAAAAGAATTAAAAATTAATTAAAATAAAAATATATTTTTAATTCAAATAAATTAATATTAAAAAAAAAAAGTCTAGCGACTGCTTAGTTTCTCCGTCTAACTGGACATAGAAGCCAACCTAGCTTCTCCGCCTAGTTGGACGGAGACGCAGGCCATGGTTTCTCCTTCCAGTTGGATGAAGAAACCGACTTCTTCGTCCAAGGTTTTTTTTTTTAAAAAAATAAATCAATTTTACCTGCTATTACTTTGTGTTTACCTGCTAATTGCACAAATTTAAGAAGTTATTGACTTAATTACATACAAGTGAAGAGATGAAGGGCCTAATGGGAGTTTTTGTTAATTTATGGGACTAATTGTACTTTGACTTATACTTGAAGGGCCTATTTGACCCTTATTCCTTTGTACGGAGTAATATAATATCAAAGTTTAGAACATCTTGAATGAAATAAGGAGGGTTATAGAACCACTCTCTACGGTCAGGCACAGAGACTGAATCCCTAGCTAATGGATGTGCTACTTGGTTCGCAGACCGTCTAACACAAGAAAATTTAAGATGATTAAATAGCCTAACAATTGCTTTAATAATATCATTAACTAAGTTGCTTACGTTCTCTTAGGAGATAATGATCTAGAAAACAAGTAGAGCATCCATCTCCACCACCACTTGGTCATAACCCAGTTCCTTAATCCAGCTTAAAGCCTCCCGAATTCCTATAGCTTCAGCGTCTTGAACACAATATAGCCCCTTCTATTGCATAGCTCTGGCAACAACAAACTGACCTTGGTTATCCCTTAACGCACAACCCAGCCTTGTAACTTTTTCTCCCAAGTTGAGAGCAACATCTACATTGGCTTTAATCCAACCTTTAGGGGGTCTCTTCCATTTTATCTCCAACTTAGGTTGTGTCGTTGACTGAGAACATCTTCTCTTATGAGTTTTCCTCCAGTTGATCAGGAACGAATTTGCACCTTCAACAATACTTTGTGGCTCCGTGTTTATGTTGTTCCAGCTTGTTATTTTAACAAGTCATAATGAAAAAAAAAACAAAAAAAAAACATTTCCTCTCTTCATCAAGCTTATTGAAAATTGTCACCAACTCGTCCTAGGGGTTATGAGAATATAAGCCAACTAAATACCAACAGTTTTGCGCCATTACACACTCTTTAAATAGATGTTTAACAGATTCAGGCCTCGTTGCACAAAAGATGCATTACACAATCTGGAAGGGATGACACTAGACCAACCTGAGGTCTATAGAAGACTGGTTGGTAAACTGCTCTATCTGACAAACACAAGACCAGACATAACATTTGCTGTGCAGTAGTTGAGTCAGTTTGTGGATAAGCCTAGAAACACTCATTTGACTGCAGCTCACAGGGTGCTAAAGTAGCTCAAAGGTTCACCTGGCAAAGGCCTTTTTTACTCATCTAATCCTCACATCAAATTGAAGGGGTTTTCTAATTCAGATTGGGCAACATGTCCAGAAAGCAGAAAATCCATTACTGGCTTTTGCATCTATCTTGGGGATTCTTTAATCTCATGGACAAAAAAAAAAAAAACAAGCTACCGTGTCCAGGTCATCTTCTGAAGCAGAATACAGGGCCCTAGCAACAACAACATGTGAGATACAATGGCTCTCATTTCTGTTGGTAGATCTGAAAGCATATGACAACAGTCCAGTGGCTCTATTTTGTGATAATCTTTCTGCAATTGCCATTGGAGAGAACTATGTGTTTCATGAACGTACGAAACACATAGAAATAGATTGTCACTTGGTTAGGCAAAAGATTCATGAAGGACTGATTAAGCTTCTGGCCATTCCCTCTCACAAATAGACTGCAGATGGCTTTACTAAGCCTTTATTCAAGACTGTATTTGATATTTTTCATGATAAGCTGGGCCTGCAGGATCTTCATACTCCAGCTTACGGGGGTGACAAAGTAAGGACATTCTCATCATCATGCAAAGCAAAGCTCAGTAGCTCAGAAGTCTCATCTTTCATCTTCTGGAAAGCATAATAAGGCCAAAGGGCTTTTCTATCTTTGTACTCCATTGTGTTAGTTATAACCGTTTTCCTTTTTCTCCCCTTGTATATAAGTGTATTCTTCTTCCCTCCATGGAAAAGTTCTTCAGTTCTCTGTACCTCTCACACTCATACAGAGTTAATAAAGCTTTCATTCTTTTCAATCATGTGCTGAGCCATTTCATCAGGGATATTCAGAACCTGAATCCAGAATACTACTTGGGATAATGAAATGTCAAAAGGGGACTCATTATCCTTCAGCCAATGTAAAACCATCAAGCTTTGTTCAAAGGACCAAGGGCTATCTTCCAAAATTCTAGAGATATCAACCTCGTGGAAAAATTGAAAGAGGAATAAGTTGATTGACAGTTCCTTGATACAAACTCCTTTACCTGAATTCCAGACAGCTGCCACTTTCAAAATGTCCGTTTTGAT